TTCAACCGTGAATGAGGGTTACAAACTGAGTAATCATTGGAAAGATGTGATTAACCATGCAAAAAAAGATGTAACTACACTTATTTGGACCATCTTATTTGACAGACAACTATTACAGGTTATTGATAGACAGCCAGTTTATTGTTTTACCAGTTTTAGTTTTACTTGCTTTCTTTTGCACACTTTTGTTATGTATGCTAGGTGTTAGTTACAAACCGCACCTCTCCATAACAAAGGCTCAGTCCTTTGTTATGCGGTCTATTCTTAGTCTTAAGCCTCACCTTACCATATTAATAAAGAAGTGTGCCGTTCCTGGCCCTTCCCCCCTCAACCATTATATATACGGGGTGGTATTTCTTGTGATCTCTCATTTAATAATTGGCTCTTTACCCTTCTATCTGGCAACAAAACTGACACCTTTTTTACAAGGAGTCATGTTTGCATAGACCGCAATACCTGCAGTCATAATACAAACAAAAGAACATAACTCTGATAATGTGCACTGTCCTGTTCTTTTGTTTGTATTATGACTGCAGGTATTGCGGTCTATGCAAACATGACTCCTTGTAAAAAAGGTGTCAGTTTTGTTGCCAGATAGAAGGGTAAAGAGCCAATTATCATATTTTTACTGGCAAATGAGGTTCCCATAGTGTAGATATCTCTCATTTACTTGATACAGCTGTCGTGGCTGTGACGGTTCCAACCTGAAGACGGAGGCTTGTGTTGCTTCCGAAACGTCGTGATTTTTATTTTGCTTTTATTTTACATTTATTAATTAACATTTTTTACCTACGTGACTTTACCGAAAAAACCTGGGTACATCAATTATAAGTTGACGACGCGCACACATCTCGAAACGTGCACGACCATTTCTCATTCCCGCCGCTTCTCTCCCTCTCGCCGGAGTCACAACGCATTTAAGATTCTCTCCATTTACGCAATTCCCGATCGATGGCCGGGGTTGTGCAATTTAAACCGAGGCACGTGGGGGAATTAACAAAACGGTGTTCCACAAATCCTGCATCACCCTCTCCAATCGAGCCGGGCACATTATATGCCCATGCGACTCAAGGGGAGGTGGGGGGGGGGGGTGGGGGGGGAGGGAATACGAAATTATTACGATTATTGCGGCGCTTATTTAATTACGAAAGCCCGACTGATTCTCAAGACTTACTTTTTATTTTAATTTAATCACATATTTCAGGAGGGTCCTTTGCCAATTGTTCGCAGTAGGAGGCGATGTTGTGACGCGCAATCCCAAGTGAGTAATTCGCACGTTCGCGTTTCCATCGCTTTTGGCCAACACAACAAGTCAACACTGGATGTTGTGCGAGCTATGGGGTGAAACCCGAAATAAAAACCTATAAAAAAACCCCATTAAAAACCCAATGATAAAACCCATTTAAAGAATCCACCATTCAAACAAGCCAAGGTGAAAAAATACCCAGGTCCACGAAGAAAGGTGCCCGAGTCTGGAAATGAACCCAGCCCATTCTTGCTACCAGGCACACGCGTGACACCAGTGTGGCCGACCCGCTGCACTTATCAGACGTGGTCCGGCCTCCCTTGTGGCTTTACTGAGCAGCTTTACTGGGCGAGGGGCACGCGACCCATAACGACCGACGGAGCGAAGTGTTCTTCATTGTAAGGCCCCGTGGGTCTCTGGCAGCCTCTGGTGGTCTATCGTGCGGCCTCCGACAAGTCCCGAATAATCGTAGGAGCACGAGTAGCTGCATATGCTACGGGCCACGCACTTTCAAGGGCCCCGCGCTAAATGCTTTCAAGTTATCAATTCCGGTTCAGTGATTCTGCACTTGCTCTATTACCATAGTACTATACCGCCTTCGACCTTTACGAACGACTGGGTGTTTATGGCTAGCGATTTGTCGTACTAGAGAATACAGACTCTGTCTACTTGACAGACCTGTTCTCCACCTGAAGACGGCTGCTTGCGTTGTGGCCGAAACGTCGTGAGAATTATTTTATTATGTTTTATTTTTATTCTTTTATTACTTCCCTTCTACGTGACTTTACCGAAAGAACCAAGAAGATAAAGAATACAGAGTCGGGGGACGATAGAAGACCACAACGCAGACACAGAAGAACCATTGACAAACTCTACGGTTGGAAACAAAACAAAAATCCCAATCTGAATAGTGAGGAATCATATTATAATGGAATCGGTGTGTTGGCTGACGTAAAACAAACAAACACGGTGGAGCTGGTTACCCCGCTCACCGCAGCCTAAAGCTACGGTGACCCACCACGTCCACGTTCATCTACACTTGTGGGTGGCTACCCGAGTACCAATTAAATCAAGAAACACTGGCACATCCCTGGCTGCTGTTTGTATGATTATTTATTTCCCCTCCACCCAAAAGTCCCAAGGGGTGGGGGGGGGGGGTTGTCTGAACCATCTTGTATGATCCATAGGCTATTAAAATTCCCAGATAATGGTATTCCCCGAGTAATCCTTTAAGACGTGCGATACATACTTATATGGAGCAGGACTTGATTTATTAACAAGGACGCTGTATATGTTCGGGTCGGGGTCTATTTAGAGTATTAAAAAAAATAGCCCATTCGCTGAATAACCACCACGTGTGTGTGTGTGTGGGGAGCGGTGGTGTAGTGGTTGGCGCGCTGCGCTATGAACCCAGCGATCTGAGTTCGATTCCCAATCACAGTGATAGCGATTATCTGGACCTCCCCTAACTCGACTCGGCCTCAAATGTGCACCTGGTGCGGTGTGTAGTAAACATCGCCACTGGGGAGACAAAGGCGGCCGGGCGTGGTGCTGGCCACCCACCCCCTCGTGTGCCGTGCCGGCCTTCATAGGTGCTACTCGCTCACAGCACTTGTCCCCAACAGTCTGTTGAAAGCTTATACGGGCAATCTTTTGTCGGGCCACCGAGGCATCTCTCTCCGTGCCTTGGTCTCACATTATGCATGCAGACGAAAAAAATGCACGGGGAATGAAGCACCTCAACGCACGGCGTGGATAAGGGGGCCGCATGGGGAAGATAACAGCTCGGCTGACAATTTGCATCTGCACTAGCGAATCCGGCGAGTAACTGAGTCGGTAGGAGTGAAAGAGCCACGTGAATCGATGGGAAGTGAATCGGCGAGTGGAGTGAGTGGGTGAATGGGTGAGCGAAAGAGCATACGAGTGGGTGAAAGGGTGAATGGGTGAGTAAAAGTGCATGTGAGTTGGCAAAGGGTGAGTGGGTGAAATGGGTGGGAGGGTGAGGCGGTGAGACGGTGAGCGGCTGAGCAGGCGAGCACGCAAGAAGGAAGACGTGCAGAAACATTAAAAACCGTGCCTTTATATTGTTTAGAATATTTGGCTGCTATGAATGTCCACGTGATAAGCCACATCGTCGAGTTATCATTTGTGGCCATGTCGCTTCGGAAAAAATAATTTAATAGCTCAGTGGGCTTCACCTGGTAAAATAAGAATAGTTTCAGTTTGTTCGTGTGATTTGTTTACCTTTCCTCCACTTTGCACTCCTACCGCGTGTTTGTGCTGTTTGTTGTTGACATTTTCTGACCCACCCCCCTGGTGGACATCCGTGGAAAAAAAGAGCTTTATAGCGCATGGGATTCCGCCAGGATAAATCAAGGTTGCGTTTTTGAATGGGTGAGTGAGTGTAAGAGCAGGTGAGTGTAAGAGCAGGTGAGTGTAAGAGCAGGTGAGTGTCAGAGCAGGTGAGTGTCAGAGCAGGTGAGTGTAAGTGCAGGTGAGTGTCAGAGCAGGTGAGTGTAAGAGAGTGTGAGTGTAAGAGCAGGTGAGTGTAAGAGCAGGTGAGTGTCAGAGCAGGTGAGTGTAAGAGCAGGTGAGCGTAAGAGCAGGTGAGTGTACGAGCAGGTGAGTGTCAGATTAGGTGAGTGTAAGAGCAGGTGAGTGTCAGAGCAGGTGAGTGTCAGAGCAGGTGAATGTAAGAGCAGGTGAGTGTCAGAGCAGGTGAGTGTCAGAGCAGGTGAGTGTCAGAGCAGGTGAGTGTAAGAGCAGGTGAGCGTAAGAGCAGGTGAGTGTACGAGCAGGTGAGTGTCAGATTAGGTGAGTGTAAGAGCAGGTGAGTGTAAGAGCAGGTGAGTGTCAGAGCAGATGAGTGTCAGAGCAGGTGAGTGTCAGAGCAGGTGAGTGTCAGAGCAGGTGAGTGTAATAGCAGGTGAGTGTCAGAGCAGGTGAGTGTCAAAGCAGGTGAGTGTAAGAGCAGGTGAGTGTAAGAGCAGGTGAGTGTAAGAGCAGGTGAGTGTCAGAGCAGGTGAGTGTCAGAGCAGGTGAGTGTACGAGCAGGTGAGTGTAAGAGCAGGTGTGTGTCAGAGCAGGTGAGTGTCAGAGCAGGTGAGTGTCAGAGCAGGTGAGTGTAAGCGCAGGTGAGTGTAAGAGCAGGTGAGTGTAAGAGCAGGTGAGTGTCAGAGCAGGTGAGTGTCAGAGAAGGTGAGTGTAAGAGCAGGTGAGTGTCAGAGCAGGTGGGTGCTGGGAGGGCGACCTGGTGAGCCGGCGAGCGGGCAAGAAGGAAAGACGCGCGCATTGATTAAAAACGAGGGGCCATTCGAGTCGTCCGACCAAAGAGGAGGATGATGAGACGGGATCCATGTCAGACACACGTGGCTGTAAGCCCCACGCCGCCCCGCAGGTTAATACTCCTCCCCGAGGCAGGACAAGCGTCATCTCGCGCTGAGAGTACTCTCGTGGGAGTGGTGGGTGGTGGGAGGGTGGAGGGCTCTGGCACAATCGCACAGGCGAGCCACGGCAGCCAGTAGAGACCCCCCCCCCCCCCAACACATCCGCACGACCTCCTCCGTCCGCTTCTCGACCGCTGTCGAGCTGACGTTCAGTGTGGAGCGAGCGGTGGGGGGGGGGGGGGGGTTGTCGCTGGCTCGTGGCGAGATGTTAACTCCCTCGCCTGGTGTACAGGAGGTTGTGCGTTCGATCCCGACCCTGACGCCTGTTGTATATTTGGAGTTTGCATGCCTCTCTCTCTCTCTCACTCTTGCTCCGGCAGTACATATACTAAAATTGGAACGATACAGAGAAGATGAGCATGACCCCTGCGCACGGATGACACGCAAATTCTCTCACTCTCTCTGTCTTCCCGTGGTCGTGTGTAATTTTCTCCGGGTCTTCTGTTTTTTTTTGCGTCCACGTTTAGAAGCAGCATCACGCGCTCAGAGTGTTTGGCTGCTCTAAATTCCCACGTGATGAAAGCCGCTTCGTTGCGCCGTCATTTGTGATGGCCAGGTCGCTTCTGAATAAGTATAATCCATAAAAACAAAGTTTTTCACTATAAATCCTTTATATGCGTGGCGGCTAGAGTCCTCTCGTCCTCTGGCTTGAGATGGCTGCCACCTATGGGTCAGATTATTGTCTGCCAGTATTAAACAATTGGTAATTAAATATTTAATTTGTTTTCCCTAAACAGTGTAAAATTTAGGAAAAAAATTTTCACGAACATTTATTGTCTCGCACAACGAGTTTGTGTGCAAATTGTCAGCTCGATTGGATCACGGGAAGTGGGTTAAAACACGACCGAAAATTTGCAGGGTTGTAAGCAAGCAAGCAAGCACGCAAGCAATCGAACTTAATATAAAGGATTTAAAAACGCTTTTTTGCTCAGTGGACCTTACCTGGTTAAAAGTAAAAGTTTGATTTTATTTTATTTTAGCTGGTGCCACTCGATATTTGTTGTAACGTCCTGACCCTGTTTACCCAGATGAGACGTCTGTGAAAAAATAGCTTTGTAGCTGATGGGATTCATCCCCCAGTAGCAATTAATATTCTGATAATCTGTGCAGTAAATTTAAATAAAATCACGTCCTGCCTATTGGTTACATTTTCAACCAATGCGTTGGGTTTGTTGTTGTTGTTGTTTGTTGTTGTTCTCCATGTCGTTGTTAACGCTTGCGCACCACTGCCAACGCAGTCTTATCAAATGTTGTCTCAGAGCCGCTCTCTGCCAGCCAGGGTCCTGATTCTAAAATAGCTTAGCAATTCAAATATTAATAATACTTATTCTTCTTCTAATAATAATGATTCATAATATAACGAGCAGAGAACCCGTCGTTCTGCAACGGGAAACAGGAGACTACTCTTCATTGTCACGCTCTTCTCACAATCTTCATGGACGCGGAGCAACAATCTGCTTTTAAAAAAAATGTAATAATAAAATGCCAAGATAATATGTATTAACACGTCGGCTTTCGCGACCAATATCATCCATAAGAGGTTTTTTTTGGGCTTAGATCGCGTAAATATATAAATGTGTCGTTAAAACCCGCCACCACCCGACACAGCCAACTAGTAAGGGTTGTCACGTAAACAAAACGTGGCCAATTCGTCACTAGTACAGCACTAGTGTATAGTGTAGTGTATAGTGTAGTGTATAGTGTAGTGTATTGTAGTGTAGTGTATAGTGTAGTGTATAGTGTATTGTTGTGTAGTATACTAGGACAGCACTAGTGTATAATGTAGTGTATTGTGTATAGTAGTGTATAGTGTAGTATATTGTATAGTGTAGTGTATCGTGTAGTGTATAGTAGTATATTTCATAGTGTAGTGTATAGTGTAGTGTATAGTAGTGTCGTATATAGTGTAGTGTATAGTGTAGTGTATAGTGTAGTGTATAGTGTAGTGTATAGTAGTGTATAGTGTAGTGTATAGTGTAGTGTATAGTAGTGTAGTGTATCGTGTAGTGTATAGTGTAGTGTATAGTAGTGTAGTGTATCGTGTAGTGTATAGTAGTGTCGTATATAGTGTAGTATACTAGTACAGCACTAACCGGTGTGTTGGAGAGCCAAGCCACAACGTTTACAATCTGAGAACGACGTTTCTCCAGTTATTACAACCGTATTCGTCAAACCTCTATTATAATATGTATTGTGAGTTTTTTTTACATATATTCTCTAGAATTTAAAAATAACATTTTGGTCAATGAATTACGTGAATAGGATTTCAAATAAACTGCGTCATTCTTCCGTATTTGTTACTCCCATCTCTTTGGTGTAGTTATCTAAAATTGTTGCTGTTGTTGTTATTACGCGTCTTTTTCCAAGCGTCTTATTGCGCCAATTCAATTCAATTTTATTTGTCCCATTTATCAGGTTACCCGGCGAGTTACAGAGGCAACGGCCCCGTATCCATTAACAGTAGAGTTATTGTTCAACTGAAACTATAAAAAAATATATAAACGATTCTTATTTTAGCAGGTAAGGCCCACTGAGCTGTATAGGCTCTTTTTTCAGAAGCGACCTGGCCACAAATGATAGCCCAATGAAGTGGCTTATTACGTGGAATTTTATAGCAGGCAAACACTCTACTCTAAAACACGCGTTTCTCAATGTGGAGTGAAAAACCGGAGGACCCGGAGAAAAATCCACGCGACCACGGGGAAAGAGAGAGAATGAAAGAGACACGCATACTTCAAAAAAACAACAGGCGTCGTCAGGGTCAGAATCGAACCCATGTCTTCCTGCACACCAGGCAAAGGGGAGAAGATCCCAACCAGCAGCCAGGCAGGAAACTCGAAGCATCGATTGGTTTTAATAGAAGTATGACGATTATTTGGATGCTTCCATGGTGCATTGGTTATCGCACGGGGCTTATACTCCAGAGGTCGCCAGTTCAATTTAATCTCCCGGTACGGTCGTTCAACAACGGCGGACCTTTCTTAAATATCCCCCAACCACCTCTGCAAGCCCAGAAGTACAAATGGGTACAACCGCGGGTAGTAGATTGGCAGTTTAACACATGTAGGCTTTCGCGACCGATATTATTCATAATAAACGTTTTTGGGTGAGATCGCGTTATTTATAAATGTGTGGTAACCCTCCATCACCCGACACGGCCAAATAGTAAAAAAATGTGTCACATTTACAAAAGACAAATAGTTCACTACTTTAGCCCACCGGTGTGTTGAAGAGTGAATCAACATCATTTGCAGTTTTTGAGAATAATGTTTCGCTGGTAATTACATCCAGCATCATCGGGCAATTTGCCAGAATGGTGAAGCCCTCCACTTGCTCCCGGTCTTAAATAGAGCAGCAGCACGGTGACGTCATCATTTAACCCAATCTGGATCAGTGAGTATGAGTAGATTGGCAGGTTGTGTGTGGTGTCGTAGCGTATGTATGTATGAACTGCTTTCGCATCGTACGCAGCCGACCGTGCTAATCGGAGCAAATGGTGGGGTCAAGTGTGGGTCCTCCCGCCTTTGCCAAGACGTCTGGCCGGCGTGGTAGAGTAGACCTAAGTACCTCTTAAAGGGTCTCTCTCTAGAGCTCCGTCGGGTGGAGGTCCTTCTGCCAGCGGTGGCGTGAGTAAGGCATTGCCAGGTCTGCACCTTCACCTTTAATTTGCATTCTTCATTTGAATAAGAGTCACAAGTTTGGACAATTATTTAAAATGTTTTTTTCTAGCGTGAGAGGAATGGGAAGCACCCAGAGGAAAAACGAAGTGGACCACAGCAGACCGCTCAAGTAAATGACATCTTAGGCCACACACCTACTTGTTCTTGGTTCTTTCGGTAAAGTCACGTAGAAGGGAAGTAATAAAATAATAAAAATAAAACATAATAAAATAATTCTCACGACGTTTCGGCCACAACGTAAGCAGCCGTCCTCAGGTGAAGACCAGGTCTGTCGGGGAGACAGACCTGGTCGGGGAGACATACCTGGTCTTCACCTGAGGACGGCTGCTTGCGTTGTGGCCGAAACGTCGTGAGGATTATTTTATTATGTTTTATTTTTATTATTTTATTACTTCCCTTCTACGTGACTTTACCGAAAGAACCAAGAAGATGAATCCCTGCAGTCACGAAAGCTTTAAATCGACAAACACCTGCTTGTTCTACTGCCCCCTACAGGTATCCTCGTTGCATAGCAAGTGGGTGTCTTGGAGGTCCATCCGCCACCACTCCCATTTGCAATGCAGGTATGTGCGCCATTGGACTCGTAAAAGTAACGATCAAAATACATTTTCGTTATTGTGGGAGCTACGTCGCATAAAAGTGAATTCCTGCTTAAGGGACCAGTGAGGCTTTTGTTGCTTATCTTAAATAAAAAAAACTAAACTATGTTGTACTTTACCAGGTAAGGCCCATTGAGCTATAGAGAAAATTTTCAGAAGCGACCTGGCCACAAATGATAGCTCAACGACGTGGCATTTGTGGAAATGTATAGCAGCCAAATATTTTAAACGCACATTTCTAACTGTGGAGAGATAAACCGGAGGACCCAGAGAAAGATCCACGCAATCGCTGGGAGAGAGACATGCAAACTCCAAATATACAGGTGTCAGGGTCGGGATCGGGATCGAACCCACGACCACTCGTATACCAGGCGAGGTAGTTAACATCTCGCCACCGTGGCGCCGTGCAGATCCAGTGGTGGAATTCCCCACGTTCCAATGGCAGGGGACGAGTCTCATCAATTGGGACAACCACTGTTGACTGCTCGACAAAGTGGCATTCGTTGTATCGATTCTGGAGGAGGGATGTGATGGTGCTGACTCAACTCTCCCAAGAGTCAGGATTCGCAATCGCAACCTTCCGATGGGCGGGGCCATCGTGCGTCGTGAAAAGCAATTTACGAGAGTGCACATTTTTATACGTGGCTTTCCACGTGCTCGCCCGCGATGCATTTCATTCGTTTTGTTTAATCAATCGTCTCGTGACTCGTGATTTATTTTTGGGGTGCACTTTAATACGCGGCAGCGATGCTCGCGCGCGCGCGCAACTAAGTGCCCCGCAAGAGGCCACTAAACGTCCAGAATCAGGCTTATTAGGGACCAACCTGCACAACTAACCTCGACTTATTCTGGGCTAGGGGCCCCCTCGGGAAGGTGGGGGGGGGGGGGGCAAAAAACACCGACATATCCTCATAAAACACGGCGGCAGCTGACGCCGGTGACAAGCCCAATGCGTCAGCCGGGCCCTAGAAAGCAGCCACGGGACTCACGTGGTGGGGCTATTAACGAGACGCAAATTTAAGGAGCGTTTCACACACATTTTTTTAATGGATGCGACCCGCGCCCGGATTTACGACGGGGGCGCAAGTGGAATTTTCGGTGACCCGTCAAATGACTCCGGCTCAGTGTGAG